TATCCTACAAGAACCAGTTAACAAAATATAAAATTGACTCTTTTTAAAAAGCCAAATTTCAATGAAATAGTGATGGAATTTAGAAGGACCCGATCAATTCATGAGAGACTTCTTAAATCTAAATTTTTTAAAATAAATACCATGAGCTTAGTTAAATCCAAGAATAATGTATTCTTTAGAATCTTACATCTTCAAACTCCTGTCTTTCTCAAGTCAAGCGGATGATGAAAATAAATATCAAAAGAAAACTCTAAAAAAAATATTTTCTTTCTTTATGTAAAATAAAATTATATTTGTTTATAACACGGATATGTTGGACTACATTTATGTATGTCTTTTCCACTAGTATATAAACTATATTACAAAAATTCTTTTATTCATAGGTAAATTTGTTTTAAAGGGATAATAGTTCAGGTGGATTGAAATTCTTAATTTGCAAGAGTTTCTTATTAAGAAAAATTTGACTGTTTTTTTTTTTTAACGAAAAGGTTTGGACAAATGCAAACTCTATTAAAAAAATTGTTTATATTAAAAAATTCAAAGGATATCATGGTACTCACAGATGTTAACACCCTCAAGAGACATTTATAAATAGTATTGATAATAGATTCTTTACCTGGGCCCATGAATAAGAAGTGCAAGATCCTTGGTCATCTTCCCTGATTCAACAGCTCCAATGCAGGATGCTTCTAGTTTTGCAGTAAAGTCCGATAGTCTAACATTGCCGTCCAACTTTGCCCTGATAATAGAATCACGGTCAAGTTCTCATCTAGGGTTTCAAATCCCAATTCTTAGAAATTCAAACAAAGCAGTCAGCATAGACATTGAGTCGTCAGATTAAGCACTATTAAATTACCTGTGTGCAAGACCTCTCGACCAGGCAAAAATCGATGCTATGCTGTTGGTGCTGGTTTCACCTCCTTTCTGGTGAACCCGATAATGGCGGGTCACCGTGCGATGGGCTGCTTCAGCTTCAATTGTCTTTCCATCCGGGCACACCTGGAATTTAATAGAAATTGTCACATAAAAACAACAAAAAGAGAAGAAACAGATAAAAGAAATTTGAAGGAAGATAAAAATGAATACAGTGGATATACCAATACTGAAGTCATCAACCCAAGAGATCCGAATCCTATACGAGTGAAAAAAAGAGTTTAAGAAGATTCAACAAAGCACTTAATTCCTCAGTGTCACTCCAGAACAATTCAATACCCACAAAGGCAACAAAAGATAATAGGTAGCTGTTGCTAGGGTACTCAACACTATGTGATCCCAACCTTGGGCCAAGAAATCACTCTGCACATCTCCATCATAATTCTTGCATGCCCATACATAACCTCCTTCACTTTTGAGAGCATAAGCAACCATATCATCAATGAGACGATGTTCATACCTACAATCCAGTATAGTGAGCAAATGACAAGTTTCTTAAATTGGCCAAACTAACCACCATCTGCATAAAAGTACTCACCAAATTCCTGCAGCCTCAAACTTGGATTTCCATTGCATTTCATAAACTTCCTGGAATATGTCCTTGAATCTTCAGAAAGGTCAGAGAAGGAAATTGTCGGTCAAGGAGATGAAAACCAAACATGTTACTGCACATAAAAGTAGCAAATTTAAGTGCCATGACCTAAATCAGCCATCCCAAGTTACCTTCCATCATATTTTTTAAGAATGGTATTTTTTGTGCTAAGATAAAGTGGCCACTTCTTCAGGTAAGCAGTGTTCATTGAAGCTTCAGCGAAAGCATGGATGGACTGTTTTCCAAATCACATAGAACAATAACAGTGGTTAATGATTCTAGCAACTTAATCGATTGTCTACCCAACAAAAGAAAAGAAGAACAAATGGACAAGAAGAAAGAAGGTACTAAATATCATCAGGACCTCATCAGTGTTATACATGGACAGAGCCACACCTCCAGCTCCTTTGAATTTGAAAACCTCAAATTCTGTCTTTTCACTTTGTCCATCAGGTACTGCATAAATTATAATAACCTCAAGATGGTGAGATATGTAAAACATTAGAGAAGCAGAATTGGAATTTCTGAAGCAGTTTTGCAGGTCTCCCAGTCTCCCACAGAAGTGAAGCTAAATGCATCTTCAAGAACCCAAAAGTGCAGTGAATTTGAATGACCATCAGTGGAAATGGAAAATTTACCAAATCCCAGCTTCAGTTTGCCAGGGCCTTGGATGACTATATCAGTCGCTCGGTACTGGTCACCAAATGCATGCCTTCCTATGCAGATTGGCTTGGTCCAACCTGGAAAAAAATAAAGCCGTTGTTGCTGTGTTGTTTTCAACAATGAATCGAACATAATATCAAAAAGTTATCGCGGACCTGAAACAAGCCTTGGAATGTTTTTGCAGATAATAGGTTCTCTAAAAACTGTACCTGTAGTGTAGCCAAAATAGAAGAAATTGAAAAAACTTAAGCCAAGTTGCAATCAACCGGAAACACAGACATGAAAGAGGAAGTAAAACGTAAATAAGGCAAGTTCATTCACCATTTAAAATGTTGTGAATCCTCCCATTTGGACTCTTCCACATATTTTTCAAGTTAAACTCCTTAACACGGCCTTCATCTACCAGACAATAAAGCAGGTAACTAAAGTTTACCAATGATCAACGACAATAACCAGGTAAAAATCCATCCACGATCTCAATAAGAGCTTAGTATACCTGGAGTTATTGTTGCACACTTGATTGCTACATTATATCTACAATGAAAGGTGAGAAAAAAGGGGAAAAGTTACAGTCTTGAGCATAATTCCGATTCGAAATAGGCAACAGGTATAAAAATGATAAAATATTAACAAAAACATAGAGGATGCAAATTGCAAATCGGTAAAGCATGGTCTTGTGCACGAGGAATTCATGAAACAAAAGAACTAAAGCAAATAGCACATACTTGAGAGTAGCCTCAGCACTTTCTATGGTAACTCTATCATCTGTAGCATCACGATTGGGCAGGCCGAGGTCAAAATACCTGATATCCAAATCCAAAAATGGGAGAATAAGCTGCGAAACACAAAAATCAAGTTGCAAACACAAGAAGAAGAATCACATAATATGGCATCATGGTGTTATTTTCCCAGAAGACGGATAAAGGAAAAGAAAAGAAAACCTTGTCCTTAATTGATTTCCAAATAACTCTAGTCATTTCATCTCCTGCATATATAAAGAGAATACGGATATTACCAGCACTTGCTCATAATTCCAAAAGCAAAGCTTGAAGAATCATAAGCTGAACTAACCAGTTTAAAATCATGGTCAAGTCACAAAGTGATCACAGGTGAGTGAATGGGTACAGAAAATCACAATCAAAAGCAACCAAAAAAAATATTACAAGGTTTTGAAATTGAGACACTGAGCTTGATAGTTATGACATCATGCCACGCAAAGAAAAAAAAAAGGAAGAGAATAGAAGAGAACAAACCGTCCATTTCGACAATAGGATTGGTGACCTTAATTTTATCAAATGCCATTTTCACTTGCTGTTTCTGCGTGATCACTGCGATCAAATGAAAGAAGAAAAAGAAAACCCAACAGCTACTCGTTTACCTGTGGGGTTTCCTCTCCTTTATATATTGAAGTCAACCTTACCTTTATATATATATATGAAGTATATGAATCGACTCTCTAGTCTGTGAAAAAAAAAAGACGAAATACAAATGGTTTTTTTAAAATATTTAAATAATATTTTTTTAAAAAAATTATTTTAAATGTTAAAATATTAAAAAATTATATAATAAAAATAATTTAAAATAAAATTTAACTTTTTAACTAAAGGGTTTAAGAAATATAAAGAAAATTTAAAATTACGTTCCAAATAGTATTATTTTTTAATTTAAAAATTATTTTTTATATATATTTTTAAATTTTTTAAATATGTTAATACTAAAAATAATTTCTTTAAAATAAAAAATAATTCAAAAAATATCAATCTATTTGAGCACACTGGACTCTTCGGTCACCAAACCTGGTTTTGTTTTGAATTGCAATGATATTCGTCAGATTATAAGCGGTCATTCTACTTATTAGTCAATTTTTTAAAAAAGAAGAAGAAGAAGAAGAAGAAAAATCGGATCGAATCAGCCCTCTTACTCCTCATCGAAGTCAAATTGAGAGATCTCGTCCAATTACGTCATAATATATGATGACATTCATCCCGCGCTTGATTAGGAATAGAATTGAGTGATATAAACGAGTTAATTTGATCAAATGTAAAGTGAAGGGACTATTTGTGATATATAGCCCAAAAATGATTCGCCACCTATATATTTTGAGGTGTTAATTATAATATAGTCCTTGTAGTTTATCAAAATGAAATAATCAATCCTTATAGTATAAAGAATAGTTAAATAGTACTTTGTCTAGCGTTGGCCATACTTAATTTAATTCCAAAAAAAATATTTTCTTTTTTCATCAATCTTCCCTTCATGTCTACTTCTTTTCCCGCCCTTTCTTATTTCTTGAAATAAAAATTGCAAAAAAAATGAAATGAGAGAAAAGGACTAACTTATAAATGAAGGGATTAAATATACATAGTTTCTGAAACCATAAGGACTGGTCAATTATTTTTGCTAAGCTGTAGGGACTGACTTATACATCGATATTAGTAACATGATATCTTATAGATAAAAAAAAAAAAATAAATAAATAAATCCACTTTTTGTTATTTACAAAAACTTATTTTTATTTTACAAAGTTAATCAAAATAAAAAACTGAAATGATACCAAACAACATCTCAATAATATCAGGTTCAGCCTAAAATTGACATGGGAAAGCATCCAAGATTAAAAAAAAAATCATATAAAATAAAATTCCTCTTTCAAATATATTAAAAAATTATTTTTTTATTTTTTTAAAATTATTTTTCATATCAACATATTAAAATAATCTTAAAATACTAAAAAAATATTAATTTAAAGTAAAAAAATAAAATAAAAATCAAATTTTTTAAAAACTAAACTTAAAAATAAATAAAGTCTAAATGATACAAGGAAGAGGGAAAGGGAAAAAAAGAAGGGTTGGGGGTAAACTTGGATAAAACACGACGTCATTTCTCTTCACTCAGAAAAGAATGGTTCTTGTTAGGCACACCCTCAAGATATTGTCTTTGTACAGTTTCAGTTTCTCTCGAAGATGGCAATTTATGGATCAACCAGAATATAATGGAATTATTCCTAAAAGTATTCAAACTCTACATAAGATTCATCCTTGTTTTCAGGAGAACTGCCATATTTTTTATCACCTCCAATGTCTGGCGTTTTCTTGTCAGCTGGGGGGGCTTCTTTGCTAGCATATTGTGAGAAGTCTACCAGTTCAGGTACGTGTGGAGGCAAGGCACTTCTGACCAGAGCCCAGTTCACTCCTTCAAAAAATGGATGCTGTTTTATCTCTGTCGCTCCCCTTTTGTATGCAATTCTTTTATGGGGTTCTTTAACTAGAAGTCCTCTTATCAGATCACGAGCCGCCATACTGACCTGTGGATTTTCTGGAAATTTCAATGGCTGCCCAACAACATTGAATAATGTAGCTCTATTTCCATGTCCTTTGAAGGGTGTTGTTCCATGCAATAGTTCATATAAGAAGACGCCGAAAGTCCACCAGTCCACTGCACTGCCATGACCTTCTCCGCGAATGATCTCTGGGGCTAAGTACTCGTGTGTGCCAACAAATGACATCGAACGAACGTTTGTCGGCTCTGCCATTAATTCTGGCATTGACCCTCCAACAAAGAGTCCATAGTCTGATTTGGATTTTCGGCTCTTTTTACCTGGTAATATGCGTGGGAAAAATGTTGACGGTTGGATACAACCCTGCACTACAGATTCATCCTCCAAAATGCCTACACCGCCGCTGCCATTGTTGCTTGCATGTAAAGATGAAGACTTGACAAGGGTTGGACTCACCGAGCAACGAAGCGATAAATCAAAGTCTGAGAGCATGATATGTCCTTCATCTCTAACTAGCAAATTTTCTGGCTTCAAATCTCTGTATACTATGCCTAACATGTGCAGATATTCAAGAGCCAACAACACCTCTGATGCATAAAATCTGTCAACAGAAACATTACATAGAATGTATCACATCCATATAATTTGCAGAAGAACCAAGGCATGTGTTATGTGTAGAACAGAAAATACATTGATGGGAAAAAGGCAAAGAATATAATAAAAAATTTGTCATTTAATTCATGAAAGAATAGATTCAGCTTTTGTTTCCAACAAATCTAAGATCACAGACACCATTGATCGACTGACATCTCATGAAACTGGCAGAAAGTAAAGGAGAACAGCCACCATGTATATGGTGTTCTTATTTTTTATTTTCTGAAGGAAATGTCTGTGACATTGATATCTTAAATATCCAATCACTATCAAAGCCAACCTCAAGGTCAAGGGTAATGTTTTAATTTCTATCCGTTTTAAATGGAGAAGGGGCGAGGGTGGCATAATCATACCGTTGATTAACCTTTAACATGCTTGAATTACCTTGTAAAATGTAACTTTCTAGGTCCGATTATACAACATGAAGGCAAAGAAACAGCATGGTGGTGAATAGATAAAATTAAGCGAGAACAGGTTGTGAACAATGCTAGATAAGATGAAAGGTTTCAAACTGCTGCTGATCTAACCTAAGCCTGCATTATTGCAATTTGCGAAATTGGCAGAATCCTATATCAGCATATAATTAACACACCATCAGACTGGCAGACCAAAGGCTAATATTCAGACAATTCTTGTCAGAATGTAACCACAAAGCTCAATATCAAAAGTTATTGATGATAGATAGATAAAGCGTAGCACAAGTTGAGCACTCACCGTGCTGCTTCCTCAGTAAAATGCTTGTTAGGCTGCTTCTGCCGAAGAGAATGAAGATTGCCTCCACTGCAGAATTCCATGACGATGCAGTAAAATTTGTCAGTTTCGAAATAAGTATATAATGTGGGCAAGAATGGGTGGTCAAGAAGTCCAAGAATCTCCCTCTCTGTCTGCGCTCTTACTATCTTGTTTCTACTTGCAAGAGAAGCCTTATCCATTACTTTCATAGCAAAATGGGCATTAGTCCCTCTAAGTTCAACAAGATAGACACTACCAATGTCACCATATCCAAGGCGCTTGAGAAGCCTAAAGTTGCTAAGGCCGATTGTACCTGTGGCAGTGGCCAACTGAATGGCGTCCCATCTGACATCACCCCCTGTGTGGGGCTTGTTGGCACCACCGGAGCTCTCTAAACTGTTGGCACGAGTAGAGCTTCTGCCACTCAAGTTGGTAATGGAACTAAAAGTCTTTGCTTCATTTGCCTTCATGTTTGCTGGCAACGCAGCTGTTGTTGTTGCTCCTGCTGCTGCTGAAGTAGTTGAAAGTTGAGATTTTGGAGATGTTCTAGTGCTTGGAAGGGCACGTTGATTAGCACTAGCATTTCCCACAGGCCTGCTTAATGGATCCATCGTTTTGGGATCCAAGTGACGATTAAAATTTACATTTTCAGTTATCTTGGTAAATCCAGTTTTCCTTGGTGAACCATAACCTGAGTTTGCACTATATTTTCCTATTGGATCCTTTTTCTTGGGTTCTTGGTACAGGGGATTGTTACAGATTATATTGGCATCGATACTCTTGCTAACCTTTTTGGTTTCACTTTCTGCTTCTTCTGGTGTTATGCAACTCATCTGCAAAAAGCACACAGAATGATGTTTATATTACAAAGGAATGCAACAAGTTACACAAATTTGCATAATCTGCCAAATTTTAAATCAGTCTGAAAGTGTAAAAAAATATGAGTTTCAGACATGCCTCGGATGAGGCAGGGCCTTTGGCAGGCTTAGATGACATTGATGGAGCAACACGAGACCACCTCTTTACAGGAAATCCTGATTGCCCAAAAAGAAAAGAAGCGTAAATCCATTAGTTTCACAATGAAATAGCTGGTCCAGAATGACTCATGCTTTAAAACAGATTCCTCAAATATACATCAGCAGCAGCAGCAACAACGACAACAACAACAAAAAAAGTAGGGGGGGAAACCCTGCCCCTAATATTGGAACAATGGTTGAATGTTACCATCTAGAACATGAGTTTTTCTGCGAGCTGCCAAGGAATTGTAAATAGTTGATGTTAATTTTCAAGCAACGACAACAACAACGAAAAAAGTAGGGGAAAAACCCTGCCCCTAATCTTGGAACAATGGTTGAATGTTACCATCTATAACATGAGTTCTTCTACGAGCTGCCAAAGAATTGTAAATAGTTGATGTTAATTTTCAAACTTGATCCAAAGGGTTGCGGAGCAGCGAACATCATAGCATATATGCAGCTTATAACAAATGATTAGGTTACCTACAACTTTATGTATGGTGTGCACGAATATGTGACAACATATACAAGTTCAATTATTGGTTGAATTTCCTTAGATTAAATATATGCATCTCAACGTGGGATTGACAACATTCTATGTTACATAGGATGACAAGCATCCACAATGTACAATAAAAAGGGAACAAAGGGATCGTAAACAAAACAAAAGATCAATGACAAAGCCATGCCAGAAGAAACTCAAGAGGAAATATTTATCGAAGGGACTGCAGACCAACCAGCAGAATCTCAAAATCGCGTTAACAAGAGAAACATGGCATTGTGTACGACTAGATATGGCTTCAAAATGGAAGGGAAAATGGTATTTCATTGCACCATCAGCACAGAGGGGAACTCTCTAAAATAACAAATGGTTGTGGTTAGAAAGTTAAAATGTAAAAAAAGAAAGCAAATGAGAATGAGTTGGATCTTGTTTGGACCACCATTCATTATCAACACAGCAGGAGTGGATTTTTTGTTAGTCTCTCTCTCTCTTTTTTTTTTTTCCCTTTTCTTTTTCTTCTTTTTCAAGATTCAGTTGTTAGTCTCTCTCTTCTTTTTTTTTTTTTCCTTTTCTTTTTCTTCTTTTTCAAGATTCAGAGAGTTTTGGGGAAACAAAATCCCATAAATAAAGCAAATTTAAAAGAACAAAAAACAACGCCGAAGTAGTATTCTGTTCTAGCTAGCTCTTCTAGCTTTGTAACTACTAAAGGACGTGGGGAGAGGAAAGAAAGGGGAGGGGAAATGGTCTTAGCTATGAATAAGGGGTGGATATCCGTTTAATCCTCTTTGTTTTTTGTTTTTTGTTTTTTGTGAGAAATAGGGAAAGTAGTGGTCTTTTTGTTTCACATCCTCTCTGCCCACCACTACTCTCCAGCTTTGCAATCTAAATGAGATTTGCTATTGCACGGCCATTGCCCCATTGGCAAAGTTTGCTTTCAACCCTAATTAAGGAAACAAAAATGCAGCGTTGCTTAAAAAACAGAGCGTCGATTTTATTTCACAAGTTGAAATGCCGTAGTGGTTATTATATTAAAAGAAAAAACAAAAGAAGATAATTCTACATTGCAACAAGAAAATTACAATGAAATTTCTTCCCCGTAAGAGATAACACACCATGCATGCAAAATCCGCAAGTGAGTTTGCAACAGGAGAATATGGTATATTATTCGTTAGCCTGATTAAAGCCTTCGACCCAAGCCGTAGCTCACATCGCACTGCAAGAGGTCGTTAGAAAAATCAAAGAGAACGGGAACTGGAGGTATTCCGAAGAGGTCGTTAGAGGTGGTAGTCCTTTTGAGATCAATGATCGGAGGAGAATTCAGTCCTAAGAAACTGACACGGAATTAATGGAGAGTTCAGTCGTTGGGATAATCGGGAAATCCAATTCAATGAGAGCTCCCTTTTGTTTCACCATTTGAGACTTTCTCAGGCTTGATACTCTCAGGAACTTTCTTAGCAGCTAGAATCCCGGATAATGTGCCAAATAATGTTAGAATTTACCAAGCCTGGAGTATGGGAAGCAGCTATTAATGTTGCATGGCCGCAAAGCTTAACCTGCAAATTGAAAAAGGATTGTGATTCAGAATCCCTCTTCATTACCAGTCATCAATCTCAAAATTCAAAGAGCAAAACATGCAAGAGTGGTACAGTACCAGTTAGTCAAATGTTTTTATTCTTAAAAAAAGAAAGATTGGGGTTTATCTTCTCTCTCGTGATCCGAACCTTACCATAAATCTGGTTTTAAAACTATGTTTTTATTCCTTGGATAAGTTTCAAGCTCTTTCCCTCGGCCATTAGACAAAAACCTTTCCTAGAATTCCCTCGCAACTCATTGAACAATGTAACCATTTAATTGTTTTTTGAGTTCACGGTCCATGGTTTGGCTTGAGAGGAAAGGACAGTTTGCAATAACGTTCTGTGAGAAAAAGCAAGCTCTAAAGATAGGCATCGACGAGTCACTATTCTAGTAATGATAATTGCTAAGTTTATTCATTTATGTTGATAGTAATTACATCAGCAGGATGAGAATATTAGCATTTATGGATGTCAGGACAGAGGTACAACTTGGAATGAACACTGCAAATATAGAAACGCGGTTGGTTCCACTGAGAAAGGCAGGAAGTATGCAAATGTAGAATGTTTGTCTTGAAAGAAGATGCGGAAGAAATACGAGGACGAGAAAGCAACTTCTTAAGAGAAGCACCAAACCTGTTTCAGTTCAGTGATCGTTTTTGAGCGCAGCATGGATGCAACAATTCTGTTCGACTTAATTGTGGGTGATCGAGAATAAATATTTGCATCACCGTCCTTTTTCTTTGGCAGGTGACGGAGATTAGTCGAGGAACTGGTTAACGAGATTTATCGTGTGGTTCAAATGGCCACCAACCTAACTGGCATTCCACCACATCTTACTCAAGAAGCTGTAACAGTAACATGCCGATTTAGATTGGTCGATAATGTAAACTAGCATGCATCCAGGCCGATCTTGGTGTTTGCTGCTTCTAAATCCCTAACAGTTGTTAAGTGCACAAAGTGGGCTTGCTTATTTCTCAAACCGACAGCAGAGCTCTTAATAGAGTTGTGAAGAACTCATGACAATGATGTACGTACCAGCTTCCTGCAGAGACTGCTATATCGGAATTTGTAAATAAAATGAATATATGGTCATTTTATTTCGAACAGATCTGTTCATACTCGATTCCCTCCTGGCTTGCACTCCTCCGTTCATGGTTTTAAAATGTGTCATGCTGAAAGCTTTAGTATTTCCCTAGCAGCTATCTCTTTTTATCTTTCCGCAAACAGACTCCTGCTCGTTCTCTCATTCTTTCAACATCTAAGTAGGCGCGGGAAAAATTGATTTCAGAATTTCCCCAGAACTCAAGGGTAGCTTGCTTATAAATACGAAGAGGCGATCTAGTGACCCATTGCATTGCATCCTCAATGTCTGTGTGAAGGCATCCTGAATCTACCGTGGACGACATGGACATTAACATGCTTAAGCCCATATTTCACCATGCTCATTTGATTTGAACTGGCTTTCCAACAGAACGAACAAATTCCAAACATGTCATTTATCAAAACCAATCAACACTGATATGGAACAAACGAAATCTGCGAGCATAAATCAATGGCAATAATATGAAGTCATGAACTTTGTTACTGAATTAAGGAAGCTCATTGGTAAAAAATGCAAGTGACTTCAAGATCTGTGTTCACTCTAAAACAGGAAAATAGTGATCATACTTAATGCAAACAGCTTTGTTATTGAGAAGAAAATTAGAAAAACACATGAAATATCTTTCTCCCGTACAAATAAATTGTTGGCGGTGATTACATGAGTATACAATATAAATAAGTCAGAAAACATGTCCATTAAAGAAGTGAATGATATGGTAACTTATCAGGAATATCAGTTACGGTTCTAAGGTTTGACTTGTCCTCTGATCAGAAGAATAGTAATGAGTTTCGAGCTCCTTGAGGCTAGCAGCAGCCTCCTCTCCAATTCTAGCTAACATGCTATCTGTTTTTTCTGCAAGCTGGGTAAATTCCCCTATTCTTTGATCAACATGGTCATTAAGAGATGCAAATCCTGAAAAGATTGCTGTCTGCTTCAACTCTGACACCAACTTAAGTAAAGAATCGGCTGCTTGAACCTGTTCCCAGCAAGCAAATAACAAACAGTGGCTGAGGCCCAGCTAATGTAGAGGCATTCACAGTTCTCACTCTCGATTCAAAGACAATGCATTCACTCGATATGATAGATGTTTGAAAATATAAAGTGATGCGGACTCGGTTAGCTCTAAATCCTTCAAAAAAATATAATCATCAATTCATTAAGATAGAAAGTACAGGGGACAGCTCTTACCATTCTGGCTGCACGCATTTCCATCATAAACGCCTCTTGTGAGTTTCTAACTGGCGTGTCATTAATCTACAACAAGCATACCGGTAATGAGAATCTTTCTTCTGCTCTTTGGGAATTTGAAGAACCATTCAGTGAAATAAGAGATTAATCAAGCAACTATCTATTTTTTAAATAAAAACCCAGCTCTCTTTTCAATCCTCAAATTTCCAAGCTAATCAATCAAGGCCCTGAATATATAATTAATGGGAGTATTCGATTAAAAATAAATCGCATTCAATTAAATAATAAAGCAATTAAAAGAACGAGAAAGTTTACCCTAGCAACGTTAACGAGGTGAGTGAAATTGTCGACGATGTTGGCAATATCAGTTTCCACTCTCTGCATCAGTGCTTTCTGCTTCTGCGCCGCTGCTGCAGCCGCCGCCGTTGTCGGCCCACTTCCAACTCCTCCACCGGCCCCCATTGCAATTCCGCCGGCTTTGTTCATTTTCTCCGTCACTGACAATAACGCCGCGCTATTGAAATTGAAAGGGTAGAAAAACCCAACAATGGCCACAGTGTCAGGATGAATGGACAAACGAAATTATATCGAATGGGCTCCGGCTTGCCTTTTTTATTGCATGGACCAAAAACTTGGAGCCGCCTAAAACCATATTGGGAGCCCACTGGAATAACTTCAAAAAAAAAAAGACAAGATTAAAATTAATCGTATTATTATCCTAATAGTTAGATAGAAATATATGATATGAGCCAGTTCTTATGCATCGATTAAAAAAATTAATAATAATAATAATAATGGGTATATTAGTGGAAATACAACTTTACTGATTGAAATTATGGATTGAAGTCAGTGATTTTTTATCTAGATAATTGATGATCAAGTGTTTTAAAAAATGTTATATTGCTGTTTGCTATATTTATTTGTATAAAAATATATCCTCTGCTTCAAAGTAATTTTATAAATGTGATTATAATTATTTTTTATTTAAAAATATATTTTTCATTTCTTAAAAGTTAGTTTTAATGTTAATATATCAAGATCATTTTAAAATATAAGAAAATTAATTTGAAGTAAAAAATAAAATAAAATAAAAATTAATTTATTTTAATGTTAATATATTAAGATCATTTTAAAATATAAGAACATTAATTTGAAGTAAAAAATAAAATAAAAATTAATTTTTTAAAAAAATACTTTTAAACTAAAAAAAATAAATTAATTTCTATTAATAATATCTTGATTAGCGTGAAGCCCTGGGGTGGTTAGCTTTACCATGTCATAACTCTTCCATAGAGCCATTGTGAGATTGTTTGGAATTGGCGTTTCTATTTATGATTTTGTGTGTTTTAAAAATTATTTTTGAATCTATTAAATATTAAGTTTATTATTTTTTATGGTTTTAGTGTATTTATATTAAGAATAAAAATTTTAAAAATATATATTTTAATACAATTTGAAATAAAAAACTATTTTAAAAAAGTATGTATTATTGTTTCCCACTGCTTGTTCCAGGTTTGCTACAAAAGAGTGTCCAGCATGTTGTAACCAAAAAGAAGAACACTGTGGCCTTTGTACTGGGGTGTTTTTGTCTTTTCATGTAACCGTTGATTGTTATGAGATTTATCGGGCGGGATTATGTTTTCTGGTTTTTTCAAGCACAGTTAAGTTGCTAATTTACTATTTAAAGTAAAATTTTTACTGAGAATCTTTTATGTAAATTCATTTTTTTAAGAACAATATAATTATTCACTTATCATTAAATTAATTTTTTTAAAGTTTGTTTCTGGTAGATTTTTCTCTCTCTTCAACTTTGTTGTTTTTTTTATTGTTATCAAATTCATCAATAATAATTTAGTTTTTTAATAAATATAAAATATTATTAAAAAAAAAGTGACCGGTTTGTGTAACTTAGTCATTGATGTTTGGGAGACTGCCAAAAATTTTCTGGCGGCACCTCCTTATGCAACAAACTCCTCCCACCATGTTGTGAAGATCGTCGTGACATTTTTTTTCTAATGAAGCAACACATGGTGGTGGTGGTGGGATGGATTATCACTCACAATTTTTTTTATATATATTTTCTCTTTTACCCCCTCGAAAAGGGAAATGGTCATTCAAAGCTCCATTTGTGTCCTCTTGGCTAGTGATATATTAACTTCATTTTCATTATTTTGATTTTTTATTTTTTAAAAAAGTTTCATCATTTAATCATAGTTTGTGATATATTTTTTTAAAATAGGTTTTTATTCTTCTGGTTTTTTAACACCTTTGTAGATTTTTTATATGTTTTCTATTATCAATTTAGTTTTTATTATTTTACCTATTATTACACAGGTTACACATGTGTTGTATTAATACTAATTGACTCCTGAGTTTTTTATTTATTTTTATTTGATTTTATTATTTTATATTTAAATGATTGAAAATTAAATTATATATTTTGTTAATTTTTAAAAATATTTTTTTGGATTATTAGAATCATTGTTTTTTTTATCATATAATTAAAAAAAATCAACTTTCTAAATTTAGTCAGGTTTACAAACTAAATCATATTTTTTTATTTATTTAAAAAAACGCTTGTTGTGTATAAAAATATTTTTTTTGTGGAAAACGTGTTTCCCCTGTAATTCCACGCACGGCCTAGCACCCGTGGGGTCGCTAACAAGTGTTGAGGCAAATGGCTAGCATGACGTAAATTGACTTTGACACAACAACCTTTTTAAAGTAGTGTGAATCCAGATACGTTCCTGTGTTTCATCGTACAGACTGCTTGATCCGAGAGTTTTTTATTTACTTCACAACTGTCAAGCACCTCGAACTAGTTGATACGGATAAAAATCTATCATGGAGCTTTCGCTGTCATCCGCTTTTACATGGTGTAATAATGCTAGGCATAGTAAGACATGCTAAACCATATCAATGGCAATAATGCTAGGGAGCGTTCAGGTAGATTTGTCTATGAAATTTAAGAATCGCCAGATTAGTGCCTTGATCACACCTTTTCCAACCCTTTACGGCTGGTTCGGCCCCTGACATCTGCAGGTAGCACTCCCTAGAAACGGAAAGCAGTATAACGATCATAATTTTCAATCGACGAGACAGTGAAGTCCGCTTCGTTGTTTAGGGTAGATTTTTTTTCAAGAATCACCGGGATATAAACACCACCAAAAACGCCGTAATTTCTAGTTTACATTTCATCTTTTTTGCGTTTTTATTAATGTGAGAATCAAACCTAAATAAAATCCTACCCAGCCCTTCACCACTCAGGAACCAAATCCCAAGGGCATAAAACATGTTACAAAGGGTAATAAAAGAAACCACAGACGAGGGCAAAAAAAACAAATTAAGAAAAAAATAAAAAACATACAACTACATCATTACCCCAATTCCCTTGCTATTAGTGGGGGGGTGAAAACAAATTGAGAAAAAACATAAAAAACATACAACTACATCATTATCCCAATTCCCTTGCTATTAGTGGGGGGGTGGGCTTCTCATATCGGTACAGAAACGGAACCGTTTTGATTGTCGCCAAGGCGACAACTCCTGGAATAGTCAACTCTCGGTAAAGCACAACAAGGGATCTTCGTCTTTTTTTCTGAACTTTTCCCCGTCCAGATGGCATTTCCATCGGCAATATTAGGCTGTATTTCCACAGCTCCGAATGCAACTGCTGGTTTTAGGAACAGAGTCCATCAGGGCTTCTCTCCCGTCATTCTTTCATGTTGTCTCCGACCTGGGTAGAGACCACGTTTTTTGTAGTAGATATATCCATCGACTGAAAACCAGGAATCAAATCATCTGTTTTCTGCTGCGAGAAAAAGTAAGCAAATCATGTTAGAACAGCACACTAGTGAGAGAAAAGGTGTGCATGTCTGAGGGAGAAGTTACAAGGAAAAAAAGAAAGAAAGAGACTTATCATGATTGTAACGCTTTTTTTAAAATTGAATAGAGTCAAGTCCCAATTCCAGATCTTTAAAGACATAACATTCTCCACCACCTTAGCTATATGGAGAACCCTTCTTTATTCTTTAATATTTTATAAGGGAAGAGAACCAATTATAGAATCTTAAGATTAAATACTTCACGCTATTGGCCAATGATTCTAACAGCAAATATAATTATCAAACCTCCAAAGATAATAATGACAACATGGTCCACTATTGAATGCCCACTCACCCAAAAAAAAAAAGATTTGAAGGGATAGAACTGATGAGAGAATATGCGTGCACTACCTAAATAATAAAGAATACGAAAAACAGTATGAGACTAACCTGTTTGTGATCAGAATGGGGCGTCAATGGCCTTGGTCTTTTCTCTTGAATAACCTTCTGGCGACTCTCATAAAAATCGAAGTCATCCAATATTGATGTCTTTGAAACATAGTTCTTGAATATGTTCAGAATTTCAATACCTTGAGGAAATTTAACCTGCAAATGGGAGACAATTAAAATTAGGTCAGAGGAGCACAGAAGAAAAGGCAAAAGAACAGCTTCAAGAAAATGGTTAGTGAAGCATACTTCCTGTGTGTCTCTGCTATTAATTACAGGCTTGTTCTCATTATTCTCAAGTATTATATGCCGTAGCTGTGGGTTTGGAACATCTTTAATGATATGCCACTTGACTGGGAAATAACCATTCCACTTGTCCTGTTGCCAGAAATCCATTTTTTTATTGAAATCAACACGGCCAACCATCTCTGCAACTCCACAGAACTGGCCGCTTGCATTAACCTGAAACGGCCAATAAAATTTTAAAAGGCATTAGTGCATTAGCAAGGAGAAAACAAAGGAGCACAGTAGATAGCGCCTGAAACTCAGTTGACAATTATAATGATATCCAGGAGCATACCGAAAAGAAAAGAAACACGGGACAACTGTTGCCTTTCTCTGCTATCTTCTGTTGTGCATCTTGATATGCACTATCCAGTCTCTTATTTCCATTAGGAGTACTGGCCCACACATTGTACTTGATGCTTTTATGAATATCATCTTCAATATAAGATTTGATGACAAAGAAAAATGCATGATCGTAGTTGGTTGGAAAGTCAGGAAGGTTATATTGATCCCTGCTAATAACTGAAGCTATGCTGTTACTGTTTCCGTTCCCATCGGGAGCCAAAGATCCAGCAGCATTACCTCCAAATACCACAGAACCTTTTGCATTGGTTGTCCTGGGACCATGATTCTGTTCATTAGGCAATGCATCATCGATGCCATTAATCTTGCTTCTTGTTTTTGGCTTTTCACTGCTTCCCCAACCCCTTGCACTTACTTTAGTAGTGCTATTCGGATAGAGCATTGCCCCCTTCCCTGGATTATAAGGTGGAAACTTTGCAAATGGAAAATACCCTTTGCCCATTACTTCTGACGGGAATGGAGAGGCATGCTGTGAAGCCTGGAAGTAGAGGGAAAACAAATCAAAAGAAAAAACACAAAAGAAAAACAGAAGGATTTAGAACAAAGTATAAAGAACTGAAATACCTTGCCCACTGATTTTAACTGGTTACGTATGCCATGACCTGATGAGACATCCAACGTTGGAAGGGAGTTCTTAGTTTCCAACGATTTACTCAAGTCACAAGGCAGTGCCTTTTTTGGAGGACCACGAGCTTGACTAGGTGAAGACATGTTTGGTTTAGAGCTAGGAATTTCCAGAATTCCACCATAGCCATTCCCATATGTTCCATCCCCAGCATAAACTGACGGATCCCATAGGTATGGCAAATACTGTCCATAGGGAACAGGAGTTGGAATGTATCCAGGGGAAGGGATGGAAGGTTGGAACACGGAGGTTGGTGAATATGGTGGTTGAGCAACAAATTGTCCATCGACACCAATCATGCTCACGGGCACATAAGGGCTGTAAGCAGGGTGTATTCCCGGCATGAAGTAGATCAAAGACCCATTATCTGCTTGCGTAGCCTAGATGAAGTACAAAAGAAAGTCAGATAAAGTATCTGCATGATTTTATAAAATCCCACAAATGATACATTTGTTGCTGTTGAAATTGAACTTTTTACGGTCGAAGAGTTTCCGAAATTCCATCTAACTACCTCGACAGTGACTATCAAGTTAGCAAAAAGAATAAGTGATTAAAGAAGAAAACAAATGACAACTTCCAATATCATTAATCACCAGCACAAAGATTAAGAATTTCTTACAGTGTATTGAAGTTCGGTTCCATCGCCAGCAGCGTAGTACAGTTGGTCATAAGACCCTCCTCCAAAAGCAGCAGCATCATAACCTGGTAAAAAGCTACTGTAAGAAGTGAAAACATATATACATAATCAATAGATATATACACAAACAAAAACAACTGATTGTACTTGATCTGCTGAGACAAACAAACCTGGATAGTAATATCCATAGTAGCTCCCCGCAGGATACATCATGAAGGCCTGATCCGTCGTCATGGACTCATGATCCATATCACCACCTTCTTTGACACTTCCCGTTGCATCTCCTGCCGACGATATACACGATGTTGCATCTGATGGGCTCCCATCGTTTGAAGGGGCCTAAAGTAACCAAAACCCGGATTTGTAAACTTATTAGTTAAATCATTACACGTGCAGTTCAAATTCGATCAACGGAAGCAAGAGACTAAATTACCGTATTGGAATCCGAGAGTTCCAGAGAAGGATCCACCTTAAGATTCCTCGTCATTTCTTCAGTAGCTGTTCATCAGAATTTTTTAAAAAATTAAAAACAGTAATGGAAACCGTAGAATAAACAAATATCTTTACAATAAAAAGAAGTACGCAGATCTGAACAATTATTGAACATAAAATAAAAGCTCAAAAAATGAGCTGTATAAAATAGGCAGCACAGCAGGCCAGTTATTGCTGTATTAAACCAGTCATTTAGAAAATTCAAAAACACACAAACAATAGAAACCAAAACAAATCAAATCAAATTGGCAAGCCCTTTTAAAGAGAGACGTGGTGGGATTACGTTTACGAGATTGCTGTTGTTGTTTTTGAGAATGAGCAGCCATGAAAACTGGAAGTAAATAAATAGTAGGAGCAGCAAGACGGTAGGATCCAAACACGGCCTTAAAAGGCAGGCTCTTCGTATATATCAGAGAGAGAGAGATAGATCCTTTTTATGTCTTCGAAAAGAGGGGTAAAAGGAAAAACAGAAGCAAATGAAAAGACGCCGTAGAGATCCCAAAGTACCCACCGAAGATTGCGTTTTGCTGTTCAAACCAACACAGGTTTCTTTTGATATTTCTACACGCCGGGAATATCGGACTCTGATCGTGCTCTGATCCCGCTTTTACCAGAGCAATCCCCAAATATCGGGGCCCCAAAAATACACTGTAATAATAATAAAAATAAGAGAGGGAAGAGAGAAATGGTGTTTGTGTGTGTTTCTGCAATTGTTGATTGGGGGAAGGAGAAGGAGAAAGATAGGCGAAATGACGGGAGAGGGAAGCGCTTAAAAAATAATTGTATGGGGAAGGGACGGTGGAGAGGATGACACGTGAGTCACATAGATCCAATGGACGACTCCTTCGATTTTTTTCCCTTTCTTAATTATAGGGTGTGTTTGGGTACGTGCATCACTGTTTGTTTTCCTGTCCGTTCGATGACCCCAACAATGCAACGTCCCAGAAAGGGGGGCGGTTGATTGTTTTTTATCAATGACTGTCTGTGTCTCGCCATAGCCAAATCAAATCATCCACGATAATTGAGTTACTTTAGTGGGCGCTTGTTTTTGCTGTGGTTTGTTGTTTTTATTTTTAAATTATTTGTTGTATAAAAAATATTAAATTCATATTTTTAAAATTATTTTACAATAGTTTTAATTTGCTATGTTTAAATTAAAAATATTTTTACAATAGTTTAATTTGCTATGTTTAAATTAAAAATATTAAAAACTTCTAATTTCAGTGTGGCCGTGAAAGTTTCAAAACCATCACATTTTCATTAAGCTTTATTTATTTTTATATCTTTTAAATTTCATGTATTAATATTAAAAATAATTTTTAAGAAAATAAAAATTAAAAATTACAACCATAACTCAAAATAAACTCGAATAACTTTAAATAATGCAAGGAAAAGAATTCCATCAAAAGACGTCAAATCATCAAAAGACAATACCGAAATATGGTGGTTTAGATTTTAAATGTTGAGATTTCTTTGATCATTGATCAGAAAAATTATTTGCCAAGAAAATATTAAAATTTTATACTATTTTTTTATTTTAAAAAAGTATTGAGTTTAATTTCTTGTCCTCGTCATTCTATTTTTTTTTTTATCACGAATAAATCCACTGTTTAAGGATGCCATATCCTGTCCTACTGCAGTCATAGCTTAGAATCTAGCTCCAAGAAATGTAGGATTCTAGATGTGGCTCTTGTGTATTTGACAGGTGAATCTTACCCTCTTTTACTAG